GCCCGCGCGCCAGCGCGCACAGCAGCGCGCCAAGCGTGTACAGCAGCGCGCCCAGCGCGCGTGATACGGAAGTGGGGTTAGGGACCGGCGAGTCTAGTAAGCAGCTAAAATGCGATAGGTGCGCATCGGCCCCTGATGCGCACAAATGGGCAAAAAAGCCGTGCACGTGGGATTTGCGAGGGTTACGCGGGCGCGCGGCTGGTGGGTGCACGGGCGTACGGGAGTGCGCGGTACAAGATCGGAGCACGGGCGACGGTTGGGACGCGCGCAAGGCCGCGGGAAGGAACGCAAAGCGCGCGGGGGCGCGTGTAACATCCCGACTTTTTAATACTATCATTGTACGCGATTTTCGCAATATTTTCTGAATAAAACATAAAACATTAATTTTTGCGAAAACTGATTCGAGATGCTACCGTGAAAAACTTGATTTTTCTAAAAACCGTTAAAATTTTAAACTGATAAATAGAAACGGTTATAATGTCTTATCCGACTAATGTCAGAACAAAAACTGAAAGTAAGTACTAAAAGTTTTAGCGGAAACAACTGCGTGGCAAAACATATATACATAAATCACAAATATCCTGAACAGCCCGCCCGCTCACTCCTCGTCTCCGACCCTACGACCTGAAAAACATGAAATGCGTGGGGGCGTGAGCACTAAAACACTTGTGCTCCGCAGAAACTCATACTAATGTAAACATTGTAAATAATAACAATATCATGATCTAAGCATATATAACTGAACTGAAACTGAAACTGAAACTGATATCTGATACCGGTCTGATCTCGCGACATAAGTCACGTAACTGATAACTGAATATCTGTCGGCACAAACTAATACCGCAATCTGCCGGCAAAAACTAATACCGGACCATGTGCACACTCTAGTGGTTAGATTAGGCCACTAGAACCCAGAATGGACCGGCGACCATTCCGAGCGGATACTGAATATACATACCTCGAACATGGTAGCGTAATTATAAACAATGTAGTACTTAGTCTGAGTCCCACCTGAACAGTTGAAACTGAACGGTAGTGCTGATGCCTGATCAAACTGAAAATAATATAAACAGTTACTACTGACTATGCTCAGACTGATAATTTAACTGTTTAAATATGTTAAGATGCTCTACTGAACCTGACATGATATTCGGACTTATCCGGTATAACTTAAACCAGTTAAGTACGAAACTGAACTGATACTAATTAACTGAACTAACTGAACCTGGAATTTTAACTGAAAAATGACACTGAAACTGAAAACTGGGACTGAAATTGACAAGTACTGACTGAACCGATCCAGCCGGTCTGAACCGGTCTGGATCGGACTGCCGGTCCGCTGAACCGGGCAGTCGGGCTGGCTCGGCCG